TGAGTGACATTGATTTATTCACCTAATATATCATTCCAAAATATGTTCTTACTGGTTGCAGCAGCCACCCGAAAATTAGATGGCTAATTTCTTTCATTAATTTACGAAGGACTGCACGTAGTCCTGTGATATTTTATTCTTCCTGCAAGTGGAGCAGATCACACTATTGTTTTTTTCTTCCTGTTTTATTAAACTTTTTGTTTCTTTTTCTTCTGTATAGGAATTTACAGTATCCCTATATATTAATTACCCTAACTTCAGCCTTATAAAGATATTTAATAAAGTATATTGCTCTCTTTTCTTCAGTGACAGTGGGGATAAACACATTAGTCCCCTTAGTAGCAGTTTCTTTTGTTAGATATTACACTCTAAACACACAATTAAATACACAATTGTAATCAAACTTTAGGGCTAGTTCAGCTTTCAAAATACAGGCATAAGTTCAAGAATACACACATAATTTGTACAAACTCACATTAAGTTTGTAGATCTCAATCCCACCGCTTTCACCCTATACTTCCACCATCAATATCAGTGTGTCTCAGTAACTTCACAGATACAGGGTACCTTGTAAAATTTACCCAGAAAACGTGCCATCATGGAATAAAGTGCATTTACTCTAAAATAAATCTTGTCATAAATCTTTCAAGATCTTATGGGCATTCTTGTGTTAAATTTAAAATCTTTTTGTCACCTCCTGCTTGGCAATCTTAGCTCTGTTGCCTAGCATTCCTATTTGCTAAAGGTTTTGTTGTTTGTTCTTTGTCAATTGCCAGCTTCAAGGTAAGAAGCGTAAATGTGTGATTGTTGCACCGTTTCCCAAGGAAATGATAGAAGAAGAAAGGGAAAAGGGCATCACTGCACTCACGATAGGGCATGCCATTGCACTGGCTATATAAAAATCTGCCATAGAGAAAGGAATAGACAAGAGCAGCAAATACAGTCGGAAGGATAAATCCTCAAACACTCTATTAAGCTATAGCCTAGAATACGATAACTGTGATGTATTTTGTTGTTGTTGTTACAAAAACCTAAAGCTTCTGTCCATTTTTTATTTTTATTTTTATTTTTTGGCAGCACTTTAATAGTGTATTGTGCAACTAAATAATTTTGAACTGAACTAAGCTTGAAAAATACCTTGGCTAAAATCTCATCCCTGCTAAAGCCATTAAAAATGTTGCCTTTGAGTTCACTGGAGCTTGGATTTATACATCCTTGAAAACTCTACTACCTGCGCTAAAGATGTATTGGCAAGAGGTGGATCTTTATAAAGCACATGACTTTGGAGTTTTTGATTCTTCCAGAGCATATTTCTTTAAAAGTTATGTGATCTATTGGGTACTGTAATCATATAAATCTTTAACAAAGTAGACGGTAAAGATGGTAAAATTAATATTCATTACAGCAGAAATTAATACAGTCAAAAAATAGTTCATGGAAAGGCCAGTAGTTCAAAGCTGAATTGGCACAACAGAACTTAAAATTCTCAGCGGGAATACGGATTAAAAAAAGGTAGAAGGAGCTTGTTCCATTTCTAATCCTCTTTGGCTTACCAAAGAGGTAACAAAAAGGGTCAAACCCTTTTTTACCTCATCCATTCACAGACAAATTAGGATTGCCAAGTCTAGTTTTAATTTATTTGCCCTATTCAAGTTTCAGCACATGATTTGCATTTTTGGGATTTGCCTACACTTTGTGGTGAATGCAACCCCCATGAGATTTGAGGCTATTGCTAAACTGACAGATTTTCAATATAGATGCAGGTTAAGTGACCCAAGTTGAAGAGGAACCATTCCTCAGAAATGAATGGCCTTTATGGACACACCACATCATTAATTATAGTGTAAGATTAAGTTGCTTTCTACAGTGTATTTCTGCTGTATTCTGTTGGTTAATCTACGAGTCACTGCACGTTTTGCAATTTTAAAGGGATGTATTCTCTCACATGTTATCTTTCCATGGTTTCTGGAGAGTTTTTAAAAAAAAAATTAGCTGCATTAGTCTAAGTATTCTACAAACACTGGAGGACTTTAGTTCAAACTCATTGAATACAGAGAACAAGAGTGCACAACGGAATTCAACTTTCAATGAAAATTTGAAAGAAATGAAGGTAATTAGACCAGTCAGTACACTGCTATTTTTATTTAATCTCTGTTTTAATATTCAGAATATGAATTTCTATATCTGTGCATTAAAACTGTACCTATTTTGTTACATAATGATGCAAATTTTATCTCACACTGTACTATGATTTTTAGTCACCCACACTGAAAAATGTGATTCCTTGCAGGAACCATTGTCCAGACTCCGTTACTTATTTTTAGTTAGTAATACTGTTTTTCAAAGATCATGATGTCGAGACATTTTGGTTTTGCCTTCTGCTCCTACCTTTTTGCTATCCTTTTACCAACTGGTAGGTACTGGTTACAGTGCTGATTTTGCAATTGAGTCATACCACCTTTGTGTCAAATACGGACATTTCAACCCACATATATTTGTGGGTTTTGAAATACCCAACGCTTTTTTTCAATCAGCCTGTGTGACAAAAGGTAAAATAGCTTAGAATTACTGGTTGAGATTAATGTTCTTTTTGTCAAAATATCCAGGCATTACATTGCCAGATCTATTCAGAGAAACTGTCTCTCTGGCCTCACAAAGAGACCAGTGACAGGTTCACATCTCCTTAGATGTCTAAGTCTGACCTAACCGCCCTAGGGTCCCTTACCAGTCACAAGAAAGAAAGGCAGGCCCTGACGGAATTAATCTCATCATAAAATAGATGTCAAAAGTAAATTAGAGGGATCACTCTCTGAACACTTCACTTGAAGACATCTAAAGTTAGGCAAGATAAATCCCACCCAAATCCACAGAGTGCAAACCTGACACACTAGCAAAGGAAAGGCTTTCAGAAGCAATTCAGTTTTTATAGCCTTTCTTGTTTTCCTCTTCTTCCTTCTGTTCCAAAAAGTAGATGTGACGGTGAGCCTAAGTTTACATTTCTATGAGCCATGAGATATTTTAAAGAAACAATACTTCAACATAGCCTCTAGACAGAAATAAGAAGTCAAGTGAAACTAAAAATCTTCAGAGTAAATATATTTCAGTTTGCCCAAAAGTTTACAGAAAGCCCTATAATCCCTTCATTTCCTTGGTACTGGATGCCAGTCTGAGGGAGAATCAACTATGAGCGATAGTAAATGACTGTCACAGAGGACAAATGCTAACAACAACAGTATGCATATGTCAATAACCATCTTGCAAAGAAATGAATATAAGGACCTCTAATCACCTCTAATCATTGTTCTGAGTAGCAGTAATTTTCTCCTATCTGTGTTTCTAATGTTTCTTTATTCACTTTCACATATGCTGTCAAATATCTAATTCTTACTGGCAACTGGCATGTTTAAAGAAAAGTACGAGTACTTGAGGAACAGGAGAGCCCTATCAGTTTCCATAAATTCGTACTGGCAATGAACAATTAGGGCAGTTCTAAAAGTATATTCATAGATAATGGTCATAAAGCCTGACTAACTCTAAATCACAGCTACTCTACAGGGTGTCATTGGGATAAAGCAAATACAAAGATTTGCCTAAGAGTTGTATAAACTGTTTCCATCTTCTAAAGCATTAGCTCCATTTGTTTCTGTAATTTATAGAAACTAGTGTAGAGTTATAAACTACACCCATTTTTAAAACACTTAAAGTATATTATGGAACAACAATGCATTACCAAAATCGAAGTTATACTAAGCAAACCATGATTAGAGGCTCATCAGAGCTACATAAAGTGTTATCAGATAAAATTTCAGTGCATCCATCTATTGTTATAAAGTTATCAGATACACTACTTTAGATAGCAAGAATCATTCATAGCCTGAACTAAAGACGGTAACAGAAAAAAACAGCACCCTTCTTTGTCAGGATGCCTAGTGAGACAGGAAGTTCTATACAGCGATAGAATTGTTAGGATGAATAAATAGCAATAAAGTTGGCTTGTACTGCATGGAAGTTTGCAGATGGTGCATGAATTCATGTCTGTCATGTTTTTATAATACATTGACTTTTACATATTGCTGCCAGATGGAACATAATTTCGTATCTTGAATATATATCTCCAAGATATACAACTTTCTTCAATGTGTTCCCAGTATTTGAAATAAAAGCAAATTTAGAGGGAAGTTTGGGAGGCTTAAGTAGATTTAAGAAAATCTGAGAAAATAGAAATTAAATCCTCAAGGGCTTCCTTGTCATAACTCAATTCAAAATATTGGAGTTATCCCATGTGTTCTGTACTTTTGGGGGAAAAAAATGAAAAAAACTCAGATAGACCTCTAAAAGAAAAACTGCATGTCATCTACCAAATGCAAAATACACCCTAAGTGGATTTGGAAAAGCTTTCATTTGAACTGCCTAGTAGTTTGGTAAAACTTCTGCATAACGTTTATCCTTGCTTCAGTACAAATGATATCTATCCCACAAGACCAAACCATAAAAGTACAATGCATGAAGCATAAATGCACTTAATCTTTGCTGAACATCTGTATTTATACCACGGAAGCACCTTGTCGTTATCCTTGTTTTCAGTGATACCTAAACAGACCTAATATCTAATTCAGATCTTATTGTAACAGACTTTATTAAAAAGTGCTTTTTAAAATTATCAATAAACTGCAGAATTCCCTTTTGCTTTGTAAGTGCTTACCTGTCACACCTGGCTTTCTCCTATGACAGGTCCTCGTTCCTAATCCTAGCTGGTATTGCTAAGAAGTGTATATTTCTGATACTGATGAAGTGAATTATATGACTGTAGGGGAGAATGTTTTCCCATTCAGTGATTTCTCACAGTCCGATTTGATGACAAACTTGAGTTGACTTCTCTCAGGTAGCCTCAAGCATTGTTTATATGCAGATAATTCTGTGTTTGAACCCATTAGGCTTTTATGACAATTGTAATCAAATATGATCAGGAAACCTTCCGGCTTACTTGGATCCATACTTACATTGTGCTTTGTGAGGTTGGAAATGTTAGTTGCTATTGCTTGTAGCCAGTCAATACAGTCTTCAGCAGAGAGACACTGAATTATTCCACTGCAAACCCCATCCACAGCAATTACTTGGAACGCATTTTGCCTATAGACATGTCATAACAGATCAGGTCAGAAGAAAATTTCATCTGTTTTAACATACCATCTTAACAATACTTGTAGAAAAGCTTTTCTTTCAACTACAATGAAGGTCAGTCACTGAACACAGATAAATTGCTGGTTTTCCTGCTTTATAAATATCTGACATATTAAAACAACCATGCTAAAAGGTCAGCTCAGACTATATTAAGTTTCTATAGATGGTACAGTTATATAAAATATCACAGAACAGCTCAATGCCATCTTGAGCAACTCTGTGTGTCGTCAAAGCTAAATAAGTGAAATAGCTGATACATACCAAAGAGTTAATACTCAATTTAGTACTATCACTGCAGATTAAAGGGAAGGAAAATATGTGTTGGACACTGAAGGCAATCTTTCATAAAATTCTGTGGTATACACTTTTTCTCATCAACTGTGTTTCATTTTTCTAAGACATTGTTTAAATGCAGTAAAATAACTGTCTGAATACCCCTCATTGGCTGCTTTTGGTTATAGAATTGTGACTGTAAATGGTACTCTTTTAAAATGCTTATGGAAAGGCTGGAGAATTCAAAATTCACCAGATGATAATGATTTTTCACATTGCATTTCTGAATGTTGGATCATTAGCAGAATACAGTGGAATTGCAAAGGACATCCATCAACCATCCATCCATCCTGTAGTGCCCACCCAGGTTGTCTCTACCGGCACCATGCTGGGAACTCACATAACGTTCTACCACGCATTATAGACTGGCTTACCATAGCCGAGTGCCAAGCAATTACAAAACAAGACAAAACTTTCAGATGCCAAACCAGTAACAGAGCTAATTTCCTCAGTAAATAGCCTTCTTGGCTAACAGCCTTTGGAAGGCTCACAGGTCTCCGGCTTCAGGACCAAAAAAGTTCAATGTTAATCCACCTCCCAAAATAACAGATTACTAAGCATATAGAGAATACAAAGTTCTACTGCTGGCATTCTGCTGCAATCACATCCATTAGGGGTTAATTCATAGTTGAAAATTAGGCACATATCATTCAGATTCTTTAAGAATAGCTCATGCAAAGTCAATGTTATCTTCAGTGCAAAACTGGGTGTCACTGATGACAGTTTCTGACATCTCAAGATAGATATCCATTTTGCTAAGTCATCTTTTACCTCTTAAAACTAGATTCAAGTTATATCGAATGTTCAGCTAATATCTGTCCCTAGCATAAAGGTCACTGGTGCATCTGTGTCAAGTAAAGGCTTTTACTTGTCAGCAGAAGCATTAAAAATGGATTAGAACCATGCCTTTGCTTTGAGCAATCCAGGTATGAGAGCAAGCTCTGACTGGAGGATAAGGCTTACATATCCTTAAATGCATAATGTTTATGTATATACTAACATGTTCATGCAGAGACTACTGCCCTACCTAAATCTATCAGCTAAGTTATCAGTTCAGTTGCCTTTTCACACAGCCAATGATCTTTCTTTAAAGCCTCAAAGGTAGGAAGATAGAGCTACTTCTTTGAAAGACTAACTACTCATTTTCACGATGATTCAGATAAAGTTTTCCATAAGATTTATTTAAAGCTTCTTCAGATAATGTAGATACAATTTATTACTATATCTTTTATTTTAAATGGCTATAAATATAACAGGAAATTCTTCCAGAATAAAATGGTAAATGATCTATTACATAAAGATCACAATATGATGCTCTGAAAAATGTTGATTACTTCTTAAAAAAAATTAAAAAAGTATTATTTTCGGGATTCTCTTTCTGCCTCCTCAGCCTACTGTAGAGCACAGTAGTATTGCAAGGAATCTATTAGACGAGTGACATTAACCTCCACAAATGTAGAAAAAACAGTATGTTCCAGATTCCCTGGATTCAATTCTGATGCTCAGATTTCCCTTACACTATGAACACAGTGAATCTGATATATTCAGGACATATCAACCTTATTGTTCCTATGTTTTTGATCTGCGTATGCACAAAAAGCATTCGCCTAGGATGCTCTTGTCCAAGAGTCAGGAAGCCTAGACTACAACATGCACGCTATCTCTGAATGTGTCTGATCAGTAGACGTTTTTAGCTTTAAATTATTGTAAAGCTATTTTCTAGCATTAGTCTACCAGCCAAACTCCACACCACCAAACGAATGTAAAAAGCAATATTAAATACATATTTCATTTTAAATTAAAAAAAACTTGATTAATAACTTTATACTACAACAAAAATAAATACTTAAGATTAGATGACTTCCTATTCAGCTACACATCATAGCTTCTGTGCCTTCTGGTACTCAAGAGTTATATTTGAAATTATTAAGCTTTCTAAGATTAGCCTGAATACCTTCCAGAATTTTACATGAATACTCTCTGGAATTCATGTATCTCAGATATTCCATTAAAAAAACAGAGTATGATTATGAGGAATAATAATGCATCTGATAATGACAGTAAGTATTTCTGTGTTAATATCTTAAAAGTCCAAAACATAAAATGTTATTATGTAACATCCTCTCCATATTGAGAACAACCTTGTAAACATCAGCTCCAGAAAACTTAATGAATTAATTTCCACTTCGCATTGCTTTCCTTAATATTATTTGCAATATCCTTTCCCTAATATTGCTCTTTATAGTCTTGATGTTTTCAGTCCCTTTTAAAAGTTATCTTTCTCTGACAACATTTTGAGAGCGAGTCATATTTTAAAGTTCTTACACTAATTAGAAATACTCTTATAGTCTTGCTAGCAACATAAAATATTATTTTTATGCTTTAGAGTAAACTCCATTATCCCCTCACTGTCATACAGCAGTACTCTTACTCCTTCATGTTACATAGCATAACACGGTTAACACAGTTATTCAAGGTATGAGTATGAATTTTGATACTCATTGTAGTACAAATACACTTGTAAATTTGTTTTCTGGAAATCTGAATCTCAGGCATATCGTCACCGCCTAAAAATAAAATTTCTCTGTAATGTACAGGTTCTATAATGTACACACAAAGCTTGTGTGTTACTAATACAGAAACTGAATTTTAGAGCCCTGAATCTACAAATGGTTATAAATATCTTAAATTTTCCACGTGAGTAGTTCCATTCAATGGTACATCTTATCTCAAGCATACAGCAGAAAAGATCGCAAATTCAACCATTATGATTCTGAGCCCTTTTAGGCTTCACACTGCTAATTATTTCCCTTTCAACTACTGCTAAACATTGACCTGACGGTTTTCATAGAGTTTAATACAATAACTCCTGCATCTGTGCTGTCTATACTCTGCTTCTCTTCAGTACAGTCAATGAGCCAATGTAGCCTTTCACTCACACCTTGACTTCCTGGACCAGACATTGTTTGTCAATAGATCAAGGATTATGTAGACAAGTAAATTACTAGTCAAAAATTGTAGGTGTTTTATTGATGCTATAGGGCAGGGTCTCAAGACTTTCCAGGCACTGCCTTGGCCTGAGCTGGTTATAGCTTAACAGTCATCTAGTGGTGAAGTGATGTTGCCTAACCTGTTTTGAATAAAACTCTGTGAATAAGTTAGGGAAAAGACTGAAAACCTACGTGGTGAATAACAAGCATTACCCCAGAGTGTTAACTGAGGCTGCCATGCAACTTGCAAACCTTAGCTGAGAACTAGTAAGAAGCAAGCACACTGTGATAAAATAACCCCAAACCAACCTAAAACTGCGGCTGAAGAATAGGCCCGCATCCTCCCTTTTTTCAGAAATATCACACTCCTTTTGGGAAAGACCTTGACACTGGTGAGTCATCATAAACCTACCTCTGGAGGAAAAAGGCAACAGATCACTATAGGACTTACAGCAACAATGGAGGGGTGAGGACAAAGTAAAATTAAAAAAAAAAGGAAGGCTTTTTGCCTAAACTTGACAGAAATATGACTAAGGCTTTTCTGTATTCATTAGATAACTTGGACTTAGACTGCTAAAACATTACTTTTGTATATTCTTAGCTCCATACATATAGCATGTATGCCGATAACTAGATTTTGATAGTAACACTTATACCACTAACTAATTTTGTAGCAGTACTACAAGAGGAAATGCATGAAATATAGGCCTGTTTATGGGGAAACATGTAGGAAAAAGCTTGGTGTTTATTGGTAAATACATGTGACTCAGTGCTCTGTAGCTGGTATGTGTGTTTGCATGGAGGAACGGGAAATTTTAAACCATTAATAGCTGATGAGAAGTCAAAGTTTAATACAATCCACTATTCTTCCCAGATTCAAACATTAAAGTAAAAAAAAGAATGGCTGGCAGACATGATGGCTATATAACAAAGCTAGTGTTTATTACAGTCAGCATCACAATTAATAAGTCGTATGTGCTTAATTTAAAACTTTTCTAATGAGTAGAGATAGAAATAATGGACTAACAGACTCTGAATCTATACACAGCTGTCCTCTAGTTAATGACCTACAAGCTAGAACTCACAGAGGTTGTTACTACAAAAATTTCATTTATATGTATACCTATATCTGTATCTGTATCTATGCATATGTATATATGTGTGTATGTACGTTTGCATATACATATACATATACATACATACATACATACATACATACATACATACATACATACATATATGGTGAAAATAATTAATACAATACTTAGGTATTTAAATCTTTTCATAATTATGATTTTATTTATATACCTTTCTTGTTGCATTTTGTATCTACTTTCATTTCACTTTAAATGCATATCAGTTGAAAAATGGTAATAATTCCAGAATATTCTTGTTTTCCTTTCTGATTTCTATTAAGATTATTTTGATAGCAATAGATTTACTAGTGAAATATCAAGTTAAACAAGGACAAGTTGTAGGACTCTATGATGCAATAAATCTAAAGCTGACTATGAGCTGCAGACAGCTTTCACAGTGACAGGAAGATAAAACTGCAGTGAAATTCAACGTTAATAAATGCAAAGTAACACATGGAAGAAAATAACCTTAGCTATATATATACAGTGAAGAGCCCTACTAGAGCTATTAACATTCAAGAAAGAGATGCAAGAGTTACTAACAAATAGTTCTCTGAAAACTGTCAGCTCAGTGCTCAGTGTCAGTCAGAAGGCAGCAGGTTGTTAGGAGGTATCAGAAAAAGAAGAGAGAACAAAATGGAAAACATTATTATGCCTTTATATAAATCAGGAGGGATCCTGCTGGTAGTTCTGGTCACCTTATTGCGTAGCAGATATATTAGAATTAAGAAAGAAACAGAGAAAGCAACAAGGATAATAAGCGCTACAGAATGGTTTCCCTGAAAGGAGAAAGTAACAAGGATCCTTCAGGTAGGAAAACACAAGATAGAGATCTAGAATTATAGAAAGGTCAATCAAGAATGCTTATTTAGTATTTCTAATGAAATAAGTGTCTGGCTGCTGGGTCCACCCTCTTCAGGACCTGGATACCAGTGGTCGAGGCCAGCTCAGACGTGGCACGGCTGCGGGACCTAGGCTGAGGCCACAGTGAAAGAGCTGTGGGCACCACCACTCGCGAGCTTAGGCCCTGGTTGTGCTCCTCACCCAGTTTTCACTGCAGCCCTGCCTATGCCTGCCCACATACCCCTCTGATTCGGGTCCCCACCTGTGGACTGCCCTCCTGGTTTGACCTCAGACTTGCCGCATCGCTTGCGTGATGCCTGAGGCTGCGCCCAGCCTGCCCTGCTCCCTCGTGGAGTGGAGAGATGGACCCTTGTCCATGAGAACATCACCTTGGCCGGCCTTGTTGGCACCCTCCACACCTGGCTCCCCTTCCCTTGGGGTTTAGCTGGCCCTTGCTGCTACCTAACAAGAATGTTATTTCCCCCGAAAATATCAGGCAAGGGACTTAATATAAACAAAAGGAAGTGCTTTTTAAAAACCTAACATAATTACATTGTAGAGTTCAATGACACAGCACGTTGCAAAGGCCAAAAAAAGAAGTTTTTGAGGACAGAACCATCAGTACTAATTAAATATGATGACCTAAGTGCAAACACAGACTGAGAAAATTGCTGACCATAGGTGCAAGGAGGAAGATCACATGTCTTCCCCACATATCCAGTCCTGGTTGACGTTAGAGCAGGATACAGGGCTAGAGGGAGCTACATGGACCATTAAGACATTTCCTATGTTCTGTGTCCCCAGCATCTATGGTGGAACTAATAACGCTATTCCCCTAAAAAGACAGCTTCCTAGGAATTGTTACTTTCCACCAAGAAGTCAGTAGTTTCAACTTTCTGAACTTCTTTACCTGCACAAATCTGATCCTGGGAGGTACTGGGAAAAACGTGAATGAAGAAGTGGAATTAATCGCAGATCACACCACCTTTTTTCCCACCTAAGTCCTGGGGATGCTGGCCATGAGGAACATGATAATGTATCCTGAAAAACATTTAAAAGGTCCTTCTCAGTTTTCAGGCTTCATTATAAATCTTTAGCAGATTTGGAGAGAGAGAAAGAGATTTCAAAGACTTCATGTTTCATTTAGCACAGTCTTCCACTTTCCCCAAATCCTTTTGCATCAGCTTTAATTAGCACTGGAGTTTTTCATGAAAAAAAACACCAAACTTATATTAACCTAAATATCGATATGCTTAGAGGAAGCATACGGAACAGTATCCTAAAAACCTGGGGAAAATAAATTGCATTATCTTATTAAGATGACTAATCAGTAATAAAAATGAATATTTATAACATATCACTTTACCAGATATTATTTTTTCACATTTATTCAGGATTCTTCTAAATTATTCACTGTATGACGCTGTTTCATTTGCTTCCTGTGGCCCTATACATATTTACATACACCTGTCTATACTAATTTCACATCAAAGCCTGGTAACTGTGAATGAGATTTATCCCATGTACTGAAAATTGTTCATGCAAACCTAAATGCTTATGAATTAATATTTGAATTTGACCTATTTACACAAGGCATTATTCAAAATAAAATTCAACTTAATCATGCCTTCATCATATCTATGAAAAATGAGTATTTAAATATCCACAGCCTAATTGCACTAATGGTTTTTAATGAATGTAGACACTGGATTTGAGTGAGAAATGCTTTTAGAGAGTAAAATGTTCAAAATTTGTTTAAAAAAAAAGCCCAAAACAATACCTTGTCCCTTTTTCACAAAGTGCTTCATGAAATAGCGCTAGTCAAGATGTTATATTTTGAAGAAGCATGCATCTCACATGGAATATGTAGACTATCTGAAATATCATGGAATATCATGGAATATCTGCCAACCTGACCTCCTGTCTAGAGAGGTTTGCTGCCTGCCAGGAGCTCGCATAAGAGATGTCATGGAAAGACTGCCAAGGCTTGTCCATGCATCGGACTACTACCCTCTGCTGATCTTCCATGTGGGCGCTAACGACACGAAAGGCAAATTGGAAACCATCAAACAGGACTTCAGAGTTCTGAGAATGGTGGTGAAGGGTCTGGGAGCCCAGGTCGTTTTCTCCTCAATCTTGCCTGTGAGGGGAAAGGATGGGAGGAGGAGTAGGCGAGTTTTCCAAGTTAACAGCTGGCTGCCCCACTGGTGTTGGCAGCAGGGCTTTGGTTTCTATGACTATGGGACCTTGTTTGAAGATCGACAGCTGATGGGGAGAGATGGGATCCACCTCACCAAGTTTTTTCTTTGACATTGCAATCTTCAGAACTCTGCTATATCCGAAATACCCTTGACGTTAGTGTTAGTTACTGTACAGATCTTTACCCCAGACGCTTGTGTGTTCTATTTTAACATTCCTCAGTACAAATTAACAGTAGTTTTTATTTCAGTTTCAGAAATAGAAGGCCTGGGAAGTTTGCATGCTTGACTGGCTCTCTGAAATGCCTGTATACCAATGCATGCAGCATGGGGAATAAGCAGGAAGAGTTAGAGATCTGTGTGCAGTCACAGGGCCATGATGTCATTGCAGTTACAGAGACATGGTGGGATAGCTCACATGACTGGAATGCTGTCATGGATGGCTGGGTACTTTTCAGGAAAGACAGGCCGGGAAGGCGAGGTGGTGGAGTTGCCCTTTATGTGAGGGAGCAACTGGAATGTATGGAGCTGTGCCTCGGGGTGGATGAACCCCGTTCAAGTTGAGAGCCAATGGGTAAGGATTAAAGGGCAGGGTAACATGGGTGACACTGTTGCGGGGGTATACTACAGGCCACCTGATCAGGAAGAGGAAGTCGATGAGGCCTTCTACAGACAGCTGGAAGTAACCTCACAATCACAGGCCCTGGTTCTCATGGGAGACTTCAACCACCCTGATGTCTGCTGGGAAGAGAGCACAGCTAGGCACAAACAGTCAAGGAGGTTCCTGCAAAGTATTGATGATAATTTCTTGACCCAGGTGGTGGAGAAGCCAACGTGGAGAGGTGCGCTGTTAGACCCTATACTAACAAAGAAAAAAGGGTCTAGTTGGAGATGTGAAGTTGGGGGCTGCCTTGGCTGCAGTGACCATGAAATGATCAGGATGCTGTTAGAAGGGAGCAGAGCAATAAGTAGGATCGCAACCCTAGGCTTCGGGAGAGCAAACTTTGGCCTCTTCGGGGACCTACTTAGGGGAATATCATGGGATCAGGCCCTAGAAGGAAGAGGGGTCCAAGAAAGCTGGTTAATATTCAAGCATCACCTCCTCCAGGCTCCAGATCAGTGCATGCCTCTGAGTAAGAAGTCGAGCAAAGCGGGCAGGAGACCTGCCTGGATGAGCAAGGAACTCCTGGCAAAACTCCAACAGAAGAAGGAAGTACACAGAATGTGGCAAAGGGGACAGGCCACTTGGGAGGAACACAGGGACGTTGTCAGAGTGTGCAGGGATGC